TTTCCCTCTGGATTTTAAGAAAACATTTCAAACGGGACTTTCAGAGGTAGTTTTGTTTCTCTTATCTTTAAGACAGGCTGAGGTAATTCACCTGGCAGTTTGCCCCTGCACTTTGTACAAAAAGAGTATTTCAAAGAGCACTTCAGCCTCCCCATGCTCTGCACATCAGTGCAGTCTCAGCTCCTTCCTGCTTTGCCCTCTCAGCTGAAACCTACTTATTAACTTAGATAAGGACAGGCATGTCACCCAACCATTTTGAATTTGGAGTCCCAAATTACTCATCTTGTATATTTGAAATGAACACTCCAGACATCTGAGAGGAAACTGGAATTTGGCTTTCAGAAAATCCCCCAAATCTACCCTTTGGAAATGTCCATCCTGGAGTATCTACATTGCTGCTTGTTTCACCTCCAGCTGGAACTTCCTCCCCTGAGGCTTGCCAATCATCCTGCTCTGTCTTCACAAAAATACACTGGACTCAGTGGAAATTGGAAAAAAATCAGGACAAAGAAAAGATAAAGATAAGAAAGGTCTGCTGGGAAGATTACTAAAGAAATGTCATTTTGTGATTCCTCTAACATTTGCTAATGAAATTTCTGCAAATCACAAATGACTCATGATGTACAGAATACAGATCAAAGCAAACCAAAGAAGAAGAAAAACAGTCACTGTTATTTAGTAAAGCTTGTTTGCATCTGCTTCTGTAAAGCTTATTTTGTATCTGATTCCATAAAGTACATGGCACCAGGAAAAAACAGAACTAGATTACACAGACTAGACTGGTCAGCCAAACCAGTGAGCAGAGGTACAAATTAAGAATTACTGCACATTCCTTTGCTTGCATCTATCCTGCCAGAAAATAGGGCTGTCATCTATCTGTACTGTTCACCTCTGAGGACAGTGGGTGTCTGCTCTGTGGTTTTGCAGTAGTCTCTTATGGTTGACCACTGAGGCTCCTGCATGCAATTCCCATCAACCCTTAGTTCATTTAAGAGGCAGGATGGTCTGCTGAACAGAACACACTGGGAAAAATCGGGAAATTCTGTCCACAGTGAATGATGGGAGAGGAAGGAATGGGCCCAAGTAACTACAAGGAGGTTTGAATTTAAGACCAAATCTTGAGAAGCAGATATACTTCAAAGTCAACCAGGACATACCACAAAGTACAGACATACTCCACCTCAGTCAGCACATGCTCTAGGCTTACAAGGCTCTAAATTGACTTTAGGGATCCAATGCTACCGAAACAGCTCTGGGATGAACTTTGCAGACTCTACAAAGGGCTGTGATCTGAATATGAGCAATACTGGGACTCTCCTAGAAATAAAGCAGGGAAATACAAGAAGGAATTAAGTCCTATCACACACACTAGATCTGCAGGCATTTTGTGATAATTGAAGAGTAATTCCTTGAAGACCATACACAAGTTCACTCACTGTGGCATCATCAAAATTTGGCAGCCTGGCAAGTGCCCTCCTCAGGTTTGCTTAAAATAGCACTGTGGGATACTTGCTCTGTGGAAATAAAAATTCCACCTTGACACTGGAAGGAACTAGGGGACCTAAAATGGACAAACTGCAGTGCTGCAGAGTGTGCACAATGAATTTCATGCACCTTCAGAAGCGTGAAGGTCACTTCAGAGGCAAAAGCCCAAGCTGAATTGTGGTGGTCCCAAAGTCTAGCAAGACATTTTCTTTCATCACTTTATGGTCTCATTAATTGATCAACTGATTGTTATCCAGCAAATCTGTTACCCTGAAGAGGTGCAGCTGCTATGAATGACATCAACTAGAGTTTCTACTGCACACTCATATTCTCCATAATCTTCAAAATCTTGGCAGAGAGGAGGCATTGTGTGAAGGAGGGCAAGCTTAGCTGGGCAGCTGCAGTTCCAGGAGTCTAAAACCCAGTTCGGTGTGGCAACAAGTTTAGGCACATGCGAATGGAGAGACAGCTCAAAACAATAGAGAACAAAACTGCAGCAAGAGGGAAAATAATTTTCCAGCATCCCCCATGGATGGTCATCATCAATGATTGCAGGCCTTCAGCATCTTCACTGTATAAATCCATAAAAAAAATCTCTAAGTGGCACCCACATATCAAAGCAGGATTTTTTAATGCTGGAAGGGTACAATGAGGTCCCAAATTATTTCAACATTTAGGAGTCATCCAAATTCCAGTTTTGAATCATTAACTTCTCTCTGCTCAAAAACTGCACTATTGAAAAATACATGTTCTCAAGCAACCCAGGAGAGGCTTCAATGTTTATTCCCATTTGGAAGCAATAACGATCTTCTGATTCCTCCTAAATGAGGAACTGCTAGTGAAGTAAACAAAGCTATTTGCAGTTGACCTAGTAGGTCTTGGCAAGTTGCACAGAAACACTGGCTTGTTTGGTTATAGCACTCTTTATTTTAAGTGATTCTGTGTTCTCTGTTGTTCACCCTCCTTCCTCAGTACAGTTGAGGAGTGACCAAGAATAGAAATGTATTGTTTAAGTTTTTTAATTTCATTTTATAAAAAATGTTCCTTCCCTCCCCACTCTCTAGCTGTCATTCTTCACCTTCAGTGTTAGTGGTGGAGCCAGTAAATGTTCTCATTCATATGTTGGCAGCAAACACTACTAGTCTCTTCCTAACTTCCATATGATTTGGTATGTTAATTCCTAGACAGTATAAAAGAAAGGAAGAGATACAAAAGCAAGGAAGCCATGGGATAACCTATATCCTGCTGAGCCTGACTTGTGATTTGGCAGGACAGCAATGAACATTAATTATGTTGTTTCTTCCCCAGTGTGAACAACACTCTGCTGCCAACTTTGCACACTGAGAGTCTTCTCATCAACTAATCTGCTATTTTTCTTAGATTTTGCATTGTATCAAGACAGGTAAATAATGTGAAATTTATTATATTTTTACAATATTTATGTAACAGGTCAAGGCTGAAATTGCTTTTTACAAGGGACTCAGATGCATTTTTGTTTTAACCATTTCCTGGTAAACAAATTTTCTGCTAGTAGTTTTAGCTTACACTTCCTTTTCTTGGCATAAGAATCCTTCTGATTATTACTGAGTTAACAAAGCACACAACGTGGGCAGCACTTGTGCTGATCATTTAAAGCTTCTCTTTGGAGAATAGTTTTTTTATTGATGTTTTAATCCAGCTTCAGGATATGCCACAGAAAAAAAACCAGCTAACCTTCAGCCCTCTCTTCTCCTACTAGTTGTGGTATATTAGGATTAGAACAACACATACTAAGTATCTGCTACTCTGCTTTCCACGTTACAAACCACCTCAAATTTAGTGAAATTACATTTCAAATACACATTTTAAAGTGGTTTGTAAGGGCTCGTAAACCAGGATGAGGTAGGTGACTTCCTTCTGAGAACAGCAAGGAATTCTTAAATCTATTTTCCAAATTGACCAAATGTAATTTTAAATTGCTATCTTAAATGACTTTTTAAAATAATAGCATATTTTTTTCTAGTAGTTTTATTAAAGCTTTTATATTTCTGTAATATTTTCATGTACATATACCTGTATGTATAACTTGCATACAGGATGGCTTCACCATGAAGCTAATCCACAGTGGTTACCTGAAATACATTCCATTTACCATCAAGAAGATAAAGTGTTTCACCTCAAATCATGATCTTTATGGTGCTGGGTGTTGGATTTGTGACTAAAAGACTTGAAAGGCACCAGTGTTTTGGCCATTGCTGAGACCCACACTTGCACAGAGCCAAGGCTTTCTCTTTTCCCCACACTGCCTGCACATGGGCTGGGTGTGGACAAGAAGCTGGGAGGGGACACAGCTGGGGCAGCTGACCCCAACTGACCAAAGGGATGTCCTGTGCCACACCACATCATGCTCAGAAATAAAAACTGAGGTGGGTGGTGGGGAGGCAGTTATTGCTCAGCAACTGCCTGGACATTTGTCTGTTTGTGGAGGTGGTGAGTGGTTGCCTTGGCACCGCTTCCTTGGGTTTTGTTTCTTCCTCTTCCCTTGACTCATTAAACTACCTCTAACCTGACCCCCACGTTTTCTCACTTTTGCTCTTCCCATTCTCTCCCCCATGCTGCCAGCAGTGAGTGAGCAGCCACATGGGGCTCAGCTGCTGGCCAGTCAGCCCACCACACCTACCCATCCTCTCCGGCCTTCCTCGCTTGACCTACAGGATTCCTTCAGAGTAAGGAAACATGGCTTTACACACACAGGCTATTAAGTTTGCACACACAAGTTAAAGAACAAGCATGATTTGATGCTACAACCTCTTCCTTGAAACCATTTGCAAAGAGACTTAGTCACCAAATCTCTGTTGAAGTCTCACCTGATGCCACACATCCAATTATCTGTCCTGTGAAGCGCTGAAGATGTCATATAATGTATTCAAAGTTTGCCTTAGCAGCTACTGAACCCACTTGCTTTTCCAGCCTATTTAAATAAGAGGGAAAGCTGGTGCTGAGGATGACAGAAATCTGGTTGATCTTTCAATAAGACAGCAGTTAAACAGCTTTGGAGGCAAAAAGTGCCATACACCCTGCAGAGAGCAGGCACTGGCATCAAGGAATAGAATATACTGAGTCACCCTTGGGGCTCAGCAGTATTCTGCTGACCTTCAAAAGCAGAGTGATTTATTAGAGGTCAAAATGTCTCTTTGTTTTGGTTGAAAATATTTTTATTTTATTGCTTTGTGCATTTGGAAACAAACTTTTTTTTTTTTTTTTTTTAAAAAAAGTCTTTCTTAAAGAAAAAGAAAAGGAGAACAGTTCTTCAGATAAGAGAATAATTGAAGAATGAGGAAATAAATTTATTTCTCAAAGGCAAAAACCAGCCAGCAGTTCAATGCAGGTATTTGTGAAATCTACACTCTAATCAATGTGGCAATTATAGAACCTAGATGAGAAATACCTGTTTTTTAACAGAAAGAAACAAAGAAGTGACTGAATTCTAATGCAGTCTCATTGATTATTTCCACCAGTCAGCTGCATGAAGATCATATATTTTACTTACCTTTCATACTGAAATGAGGAAAAAAGGAGTTAAGACTGTCAAATTATCCACATTCATCTTCTACCACACTCAGTGTGCTGGTTACAATCACAAGCAGCAAGTCAGGTTCCTGATTTAAAATGAAATTTAAAACAACAGACTGGCTCACCTTCTGCTGACAGCCCCTGGATGTTAATCCCCTTGGCAGCCAAGAAACTCAGGCACGCATCTATGTTTTCAATCTGTTCAAGAACAGACAGACAAAAAGAGAACGCATTGTAATCATCATTTACTTTCATCTCCCACCACCCTTTGTTGCACTGTCTTTGTATCACATAAAAAGCCCTTTTGCTCATTATGTGGAAATTATAATGTGAAACCTCCTTGGTGACTAAGGTCCTAAACTGATCGAGCACTACTTGGGTCAGGACTTTCTGTTATTTGCACTTGCATGAAGCCTGTCAGTTCATACTCTAACCACAAAAGGCCAGCACTACAGATCTTACTAAAGGGTCAAGGATGTTATGCCAGGATTTTTAACCAACAATAAGTACAACAAACCAAAAACCAAAAATAAATAGGGAGGCCACATTTGCTTGAGAAGGCAGATTGCCACTTGCTCTGAACTTGACAGCTGGCAGAAGTTTCCAGCCACAAAAGAAGTCAAATATAAAAACTGTAACTGGAAACCCCAGCTGGAATCCTGAAAATGTTCACTTGTGACATCCTCTGCATGTCAGAAATGACAGCAGCTCTGGTGAACTCACTGTGGGGCAAATCCTGCCCCTTCAGAGGGGTGGCACAATGGTACTAAATTGCATGGGATAAAGTTAGTTTTCAGCAGGTAGGGTCTTCTGCATAAGTCAGACTGTTCGTGACTACACCTGCCATTGGACTCAGATCCTGCCAAACAAAAGTCAGATGAGTTGGACATTTTTTCCTCTGTTTCTCAACATCATGATGCTACTTGGCCTAGTTTCCCATCGAGCTACCACTAAACATCTCCTGGCATGTCCAGAAGATGCAGAAAGATGCCAGTCCCTGCCCCAGACCCAAGCACTTCTATGCAGAAGCCCAAGCTTAGACACCTTGAGAAGGTGAAAAGGAACAACATTTTAGGAAATAACAGGAGTTTCATGTATGGTTACAGAGAAGACTTTGAGATAATAGCACTGAGCAATTTTTGCTTAAATCATGGTAATCACTAAGTGATAGAACAGGGTCTCCATGTGTGAACATGTTGCAAATAGTAATTTATTAACTCCCAAAACATTGTGACCGAATGCTGCTTTCACTTTACAAATAAGAAAGTAGACAGTCACCAAACCCCACATGTGCTCTCACATTAGCTACCTTTCTTCTGTGAAGTTTGGAGACACCAGAAAAGAACATGAAAGACCCAGTTTCCCTGTCAGCTCCTGCATGCCCTTGAAACACTATGGAAGTGAGGGCTGTGTGGCATCCTGGAGGCTGAGCTCCCAGCACCTGCTTGTGCTTCCTATCCTCCTCAGAGTAAAAAAAAAGGACAAGAGAAGCGGCCAGAAAAGCTCCAGCATGGATTTCTCTCAAGGTACTTTCATATCTTATCTGTAAATTTAACAGTAAAAACATTCTCTTCTATTGGGGGGGGAGGGGGGAGAAGAAAGTTATTTGCACTACCTAAGTGTGATTTCAACAATTATAAACACTGATATACTCCAAACTTTTATCAACTTCATTATACTTGAGATACACTGTATCTCAAACCCAGATAGGTACCAAAGAATAAATTTCCTGTAATGTTCAGGCCTTGAAGCCTGTAGGAGGGTGCAGCTCAAAGGTTCATTTATTCACAGTTCAATATGATATGACAGTCAATCTCTGCTAGTTTTCTTCCCTAGTGCTCAATAACCCTTTCAAGTTTTCAACACAGCTATTTTATTGATGTGATTTGGGACTTTGCCAGAAAGTTCAAGTTCACCTTTTCACGAAGAAACACCACACAGAAGCATCAGTCTATATCTAGCACCTGCACTTAACAAGTTTTCATCTTTCCAAGAATATTTCCAGTCTTACACAGCTGTGAGTACATTTCTCCTCTCCTAATAAAGAGGATTCCTCAGTTGAGTGACTAAAGACAAGCAACATCTCATCTCCAGACTGGCAGTTTTAGAAACAGAAAGTAGCTCTTTCAGTCCTGTTTTGCTTCTCTTTTCTTCTTGCTCCCTCATCTTTACTCACTCTCTTTTAGGACAGAGTGACCATAAGGTTAAGATCTACTTCAGGGTAGCAAGCTCCTCATCTATGCCATCATTTTTGGTGCTACAGAGAAGTCCTTGCTGACTCCCTAAAATCCTTGCACAGCCAAGTCAGATTCAAGGAGCCCCATTTACAACCACCACCACCTCTTCCCTGGGACACAGCCATAGTTTTTACAGAGCATTTTAGCCACTTCAGACAGACAGCTCCCATGGCCAGACTGATGGATGACTCCCCAGCAGAGCACTAATGCTTGAGATGTGCATCTGGAACACAGGCTGTGGGACCTGGACCTCACTGCCATATAAAAGGACATAGGGGCTACCTTGCCACACCAGCTGGAATGTCTGGTAAAGGCTGGAAGAAACAGGGGCTCTTTGGTGCTATGTTGAGACAGAAGAAGAAAGAGAGGGGAAAAAACAGTACCATAAAATGCAGGAAAAGGATGAACTGGACTACTAAAAATATATTTTCTTATATAGATTTACAGATTATTAATTTACATACAGTTTTACAGTCAAGAACTTCTAAAATCAAAACATTATAGAAATAGAAAAATATCCTATTTCAGTACTTAAAACCAGACACGATGAAATAAAGAGGCAATAACAGAGGCTTGCAAAAATAAACCTCTTACTTTCAGAAAATGAAGTACAGTTACCCAGCTCCAGAGGGAAAGGACTCACACTCACTTGGCACTTTGGGGTCCTATAAGAGTCAAAAGCCCTGAATGCTCGACCAGGGAGGTGTCTTCAACCCCCCAGGGTGCTGAGAATGAAAACAGTGATGTTGGGATGTGTGAGGGATGCAATCACTGATTTTTCTGTTTGTAAAAAACAAAGATAAGAAAGCAACTGGAATCTTCCTATGTCAAACAGTTTAAGGTGTGAATAATATTTAGTGGCCACTGGCCTGAGTGAAGGTCCCTGAGCTTGGCTGAATTAGTCTAATGCATGATAAATCATGCCCCTTGTTTAAAGAGAAGAGTTTCCAACAGTGTAACATTTAATGAAGTTGTCCTATAAAAGCTTCAAGGATGGATTCTGTCCCTAGCCCCTTCTGTATGAACATAAAAACTATTTATAATCTATACATTTTGTTTTATGGAGCTAGATCCCCCAGTGCATACAGGGTTGGAGACAGCAAGCTCTTCTGCAGTAGTACCATGGTAGTTAGACCACTTCAATGTGTGTACCTAGGACAGAAGTGAAGTTCCTGGACAGATCTCAGTGAAGACCCAATGACCCAACTTCTGACACCAAGTACAGCTGCCTCCTTGACATTACAGCATTCAACAGCAACTCATCACTGAGGCTCCATGGGCTCTTTCTTGGCTGAGTTCATGTATTGCTTAAACCCTTTAAGCAGATGTGAAAAGCCTGGATTTGCCAAAGGGGAGTGTATATTTTCTTTTTCCCTGTGAGCTACAATTGTTTCTTTGGCTGACAATTCTGCTTTGTCCTTTGCTTTGCCAGCAACGTTTAACACAGCAGAAGCAAAGCAGGAAT